GATTGATACTGCTGTCAGGTAGAGTGTCCACTTGATTGGTTAGGGTTCCACTTGGGGGATTGGTGGAACACACTTCTAGCTATGTCTGAATGGATCATGGAGATGTGACTCTGGGTACTACGTACAGATCCTGACCCATGTTTGAGCTGGCACTGTTCCCCTCTTCTGCTTCTTGAGAGCCATGAGCCTAGCAACTTTGCTCTACTGTATTCATCTGCCATAATGTTCCCACCTCAAACCAGCCCCCCTGAACCATGAGCCAAACTAAACTTCTCCTCTTTTAACTTGTGGGTGTCAGGAGAAAGCAAATGCAGTTAACATGAGCAAAGTAATGTTTGGCTTTTGTTTACAACTGATTCTCTGTGACCAAGTAGACGTAGCAGATGTGCTCAGTTTTGTTTCTTCCAATATCAAATAAACATAAATATCTCTAGAAAGGAAACATGCTTTGCTTCCGTATTTCTCTTCCATGCAACTTTCCACATGTTTACAAGGTTCCTAAGTTAGGACACATCCCCTGAATTATTTGAAGTCTTTTGTGTGGTGTCCAAAGCCAATAGCCTTTTCTCTAGGTAAGAGACCAGAAAAGACAAGCAGTCTCCTGAGGAATGATGGGTGAGCTCACAGCCTCACTGGGGAAGAGAGAACATCCAAAGTATCAAATCCTATTGCCACATCCATGGGGACAGTAGCCAGTCATTGATGAGCAAAATTGCCCAGAAAACTACAAGAATTTTCATTTTTTATTGACTTTTTAATTTTTCAGCCAAAAATTAAATATGGCTTTAGAAAATATAAGAAGGTTGTGCCCATGGAACATTAGTGGGAGATATACCCCAGGACTGGGGACATGCATTTAGAGGAGACGGATGTGTGTAACCTTCTCCCTCCTGAAGCTCTGACAATGGACTTGAGATTTGCACCTTGGCTCTAGTGACCCGAAGTACAGACACAAGACTAAGGAAGATGGGGATGACTGAATACTTTTCTCCTTGAGGAAGTAGAGGAAGCCAGGGTTGGAGACAGGCTGATGGGAAAGACAGAGAGGAGGAGACAGAAAAGGAGACAGGGTAGGGTCTGGTGCCATGGAGTTTCAGAGACTTAGGGGATAAATACCACTGTACTGGAATGGAATGTGGTTTTCCCTTTGTTGCTGCTTCAGGAAGTCGATATATGTATATGTATATATATTTATATTTGTACCAGGGATTGAACTCTGGACCTTGCTCTTGAGAGGCAGGCAGTGGCACCACTGAGCTAAATCCTGGGCCCCAAATTATGTATTTTTTAAAGATGTTAGGATAGAACTGGTATCTCTTTAGAATGGTGCATTAATAGCAATGCAAAGAATTTTCATTCTGAATTGTTGCACTGCTGTCCTGTGTGCTAGGCAGATAGACAGCTAAATTTTTATCTCAATTAAAAATTAATATTTTATCTTATATAATTGTTTTTGTGTTTATTCATATTTTTAAATAACTGTTTTATACAATAAAGATAAAAAAGAGACTGAACCAAATGTTTGCAAGATCTGAATCAGGTAAGTGTTCTTATGTTTCTGTCCTGCTATTTTTTAAAAACTTCCTTTCAGTACCAATAAAGAGCAAAATAGAAGATAGATAAACAGGAAGTAAAAGAAGTTCAAATAATTCCCCAAATTACCCTTGTTTTAAAAATATTTTAATACGTATGTCAGTTTGTTTCATTTATATTACTAGTACCTCTTAGTTCATGGAAAAGAAAGATTTCTGTTATCTGTTTTTTTCTCTGTAAGTGAAAGGCTTTTTATCTATGTCTTTTACTCTGAGTAACTATTTTTAAGATTATGATACACAGGGTATTAACTATTTTTATTCTCTTATTGTTATGCTTTAGTTTTTCATTAAAAACTTCCTTTTTGGGTCTTTGAATTTCTCTCTGAAAAATGAAATCTGGGAATTATTTGCTGAGTATTTTACTAAATATATTAAACTAAAATGAAAAGGATATTGTGGTGAAGTAGAACCTTATGTAGGTCAGATTTCGCTAAGGGCTAAATTTGGCCTCTGTGCTGATGAGCAGAAACTTCCATGAGATGCCACTGGCATGTGTCCTGGCTCCGTGCACAAGGACAAAGCTGTTCACGCACAGTGGCTTTGCACTAATTCTGCCCACATTGTTCTGTGCACTTAAGCCACAGCCACATGTTACGCCAATGGCCATCTATACTTGGGACATCTTAACCTACATAGTGTTATGAGGTTGGCAAGATCTCCTCAGCTTCAGTGCGGTCAGATTCCACTTCAAACTTGACGGGGGGCTGTGGATACATGCATCCCTCTGCGCCCACAACACACACATGCGTGAACTAAAGCTAAAAGCCAACTTTGGCTGGTTCTCAGATTACAAAACTTACTTTTTCAGTTTCCTCTTCTTATACCTTTTTAAGATTTTTTTTTGAATCACTTACTGCTTTCTAGTGAAACGTCAGAAATAAGTATGGCAACCAAAGAAACTTCACCCCCCATTTAGCACACTTCCAGTCAGTAAACTTCCTTCTTTCTATTTCTTACCCTTAGCAGAAAGTCCCCTTGGAAGATGGTATCACTCAAAATTCTAATATAAATGAGGTAAACCTTACTACAACTACTCCTAGCTAAATTTACAGTCAGATATGTGTCACAGTTTGGTCTCGGGGTGAACTGTGTCCTTCAAAGCCAAACTACGCAGTTGTAACCAGTAGGTCAATGTACTTTCAAATATGACGCTATATTCTTCATCACAAATACAGAATTACATGCTGATAGTTAGTTGATACAAGACAAGATTCAAAGTCAAAATGTGCCGTGGCTAAGCCTGACAATGGCCCTTTCCCCTCCCTGCTCCCTTTTTTCTCCCTGCTCCCTTTCTCCTTCCTACTTCCTTTCTCCTCCATAGATTAATCCGTCTGTTTGACTCATATTGTAGACCCTGGATGGCACAGCCCTGGGAGACATTTACCTTGTATCCTTTCCTGTTCCCTTCCTGCACATGCCTGATCACTAAACAATCATGCTACTTCCAGGTAGGCCGAGTAGGCCATGTGGCACTGCCTTCTCTTCCTGTTTGCCTTCCACTATGAGAAAAGAGTGCATGGCACTCCAGGTGGCCATTAGCTCCCAACAAGCTATGGTTTCACTTGGTCCCAACTTTCAGGCATAATCTTGGTATGTATCCTTCTTTCTTGGTTTCTTCATCTTTTCTTCATTTCCCACTTCTTTTCCTGGATTTGAATCCTATTCTGTGTGTAGGAAAAATGATTCCACATATAGTAATGTGCTTAGGAAAAATTATTTTCCAGATTTTAATGTTTTGTCACAGTTTTCCCAGATGGGGAGCTGCACTCATAGTTCTGTATGTGCTAAGGGTTTCCTACCATGTAACCTTGTATGCCTCACATAATTAACTTGTAACAGGTCTGGGGATTCAGCTCAGTGGTGCTGCTGCTTGCCTCGCAAGTGCAAGGTCCCAAGTTAGATCCCTGGTACAAAAAAAAAAACAAAAAAAAACAAAAAAGGATTGCGACTGAATTTACTCATAACAGGTAAGCATCATTCCCAGCTTGGAAGCTGAGGCTCACAGAAGATGTGTAACTTGGTTGAGACCATGAAGAGTGGAGGTCCCATCTGTCTCCTGAAGAGATCCAGCCCACTCTTGGGTATCCCCTACTAATTATGGGTAATTTCTGCATAGAGTTTCAAACAAGGTTGTAATTACAGGCTAGAGAAGTGCAGGACCTGAACAGTAAACAACATTAGAAGACTTCCGTAGTTCATGCTGGAATCAGAGGATTTTGACCATTCTCCCAGCATCCTCCATGTTCAGACCCAAAGCTAGTGGCTGTGACACTGTGCGCCCTGCTGTGCCTCACCTACCTGTGTTCCTTCATGATTGGGGCTTTTTTCTGTGATCCTCTTCAGTGACACCCAGTGCTCTATAGTCTGTCCTTGGTCAAGGCTTACCTGGCTCACAGCTTACCTGCTTCCAATGGCAAACTGGTGAGTCAGCCCTGCAGTCTGATCTCCAAGTATACCATATAGAGCCTCTCTATCAGATGGGTAGCTGCAGTTTCCCAACTAAACATCAACACAGAATTACCATCTGCTTTTTGATTTTAGAGAATTTAAACATAGTGGCTGTTTCCACTGTTTTGGACTTTTCTTCAGGTGGCTATAAAAATGTAGAAATAGTCATCATTTTCCTGAATCTCTCTGAGTCTCTCAAGGGTGTCTATCTTAGGAGAGGGCTAGTGATAAAATCTGATCTCTTACAGAATGACAAACTTGCAAATAATACATAGGCTCCAATATCCACATGATCATGTTTCCCTTCTTCTGGCTTGTAAATGAACCCCTATACACAGATTTGTGCTACAGTAAACCTCATGCTCACTCAGGCATGTGGAGAGTGCCCCTTACTGCATGGAGTCGGCATGGTCCGCCCCTGCTGTGGTTCTTATTCTTTCCTTCATTCCTCCTGAGCAAACTGCAGGCCCTCTACACTCTTGCATCCAGAGAGTAATGCAGTTGATGAAGGCATAAGAGGACAAAGTCTCTTGGAGGTTCCAAACTTCACCTTTAAAGTTCTCTTAACAGCATCAGGGAAGAGGTGTGTGGTATACACTGAGAGCCCCACAAAACCAGTTTGACACTTAGTGGCTGGCTCTGTGTCCTACATCAACAACCATGAGTCAGTTAAGTGATTCCTAAGACACAAGCTTTATGCTCATGCAGTGGGTACCTTGTCTACTGACTTCTTTGGTTCAAAGCAATGCCAGTGCAAAGTGGTAGAACATCTTTTCCAAGAAAGAGAATTCACACCTTATCCTGAGATGTGGAACCATGCATGGCCCACTATGTTGGTGGTGCAGGATCTCTACTCGGCATGCCCATGTTCTCCAGAGGCAAGGTGGTTTACTTTAATTCTACTGCATAACTGTCTTCAGCACCATTAACATTTATTTTAAGACAGGGCCCCAGAAAGCCAAACCTCAACAATTGCACCAGCACAATTTAATAAAGACCATTACATTTAAAACATTTACATGTATAGCTGCAAATCTACTTAGTTTAAGCATAACTTTATATATAATATTTTGACAGACAAAAATATATGTTTTAGAACCATTATATGCATCTGTCTGTTCAGTAGCAAACTTACAATAAATTATACATTATAGCAAACATAATAAATTATACATCATACTAAATTTTCTTGAAGGCTAAAAAAAGGAAAAATTCATTATGTTTAAAATATAACACTAATTCACTGTTTCAAATAAAAAAATGAATAGCCATTATATTAAATTCACTTATTTCAGGCTTACATTCATTTGATATTCACATAAAATTTACTACTTATTTAAGTGTAGCAATGAAGTGGGGTTTTGACACTAGTTGATGGCTTGTTTTTGGCTTCTCAGTCTAGCTACAAGCTTGATGTTCTAAATGTGTAGGGAAAAAAATAAAATTACCCAAGAAACATGTTACAATCACTGTAAAAGTATGAAAATACAATAACTGTTTTATTATGTTTTAGCCACAGGTTTCACCTCCAAAGGTTAAAATTACCAGTGTCTAAAACATGTTGGTCATTTTATTTTCATTGAGGATGAATTATGAAAATCAAGTCCACTGTGTGAAGCTGGATGAATTCGGTGCTGTCCATTCACCCATGAGGTCAAACTGAGCTGGTCTACACTCCACAACTTTACTCCTTCCCTGGGAATTGGAGGGGAATTTCTGCAGGAATGGGCATAAGTAAATGAAGATCTTGAGGCAGTTGTCTCATTCTTTCCATTTTTAGACTTGAAATATAACCTTGCTTATATTTTAATACATCTAGTTTGAGAATAGGTGGAAAATAATGGGCTTACTTTGTTTATTTGTTTAAATTATTTCTCCAGTCTTAGCATGCTGGACAGCACTGGGTTGTTTCTCAGAGTCTGTGTGAAAATATTGGACCTCCCTACTCACAGGTCCCCAAAACGCACCTTGGCAAGTACTCCACAGTACTGAGTTGATTCTGAGTAAACTTGCTGAATAAAGGAATTCTCTTTTCATTTAGGTAAATAAGATTTCAGTAAAGATTTTGAGTGCAGTGCCACATTCACTATGAGGTGTTGATAAAGTACTTAAAATATTATGACATCTAAATTTTTTAATTTCACATTTAAAAAACTACCCTGGGAGTTTAATTCCTATTTTGTGGAAAAAGGAGATATATTATTTAGTGAATTGAGATACTTCCAGTTAAAATCTATAAAATGAAATTCTAAGGGTCAAGAACACATCTTTTATACTTATTGCTGAGTTAACATCATTTTGTTTGTAAATTGCAAAAGAGAAACATTTTTAGAAAAAGTGCTCTAGTTTCTGCAGTGCAGAATGGCTCTTCACTGGGAGCCCAGCCCTGGATGGCTTCTGAGCTCATCAGTTTACTCCAGTGCTTTCAACCTGGTTTGAGGTTGTTCTTTCTAATAGTGAGTGTCTGGTGGGAAGCACTGAACATTCTGTATGATACAAACTGTTGCCTATGTATATTGCATATATACGTATGTGTGTGTGTGTGTGTATTTTAATTCCAAAAGAGGAGCAAAATAATGCTTAATGACTTCATGAAAAATATGTACATACTATATGTTAAAATTGATGGCTTCTTCCCTTTAAGACTTATTTTTGCTGTCTGTTTTCTGCCATATTTTGAAATTCATTGCATGCTTTTTTTGTGGGAGTGATTTTTCCAGTCTCTAAAACTGGCTTATATGAAAAAATGTCACAAAGTGGACCCTTGAACACTAAATCATCTCATCAATGAATATTAAAACATGAATGGGATTTGTGACTCTGAGTTCACTATGAGGAGGTGCTTTAGGAAATGCTGATAATAAATCTTTAATAAAATTCATGTTAATTTATCAGTTTTTCTTTCATCAAGCATAACTGGTGCATGTAGCTAGTTCTTTTTACATATGGCTCATTTTTACTTCCAATACTGATTTAGATAGTATGCCAAGACACTACTTTTTGTAGCATGTAGCAAAACTTTACATCCTTCAACTAAAGATAAAAGTCTATTCTTCCTATCATTTTTTGTTTGATGTCCTTCTTGATTTATTGTTCTCAAGTCATCTAATCATATTCTGGAGCTCCAGGTACCTTTATCTATGCGTTAGGGACATATCCAAAGGAGCTTGGTGTTCCCTTAAAGCAAAAAATGGACTTCTATTTTCCTAACCCTTGGTACATAAATAATGCCAGTCTTCCTTAATTTTTATGTGTTTGATTTACCTGTTCTGAGAATAATTTATGCTGTTACTCGTAGAGTAACAGATTACAAGGCTGGGAGGTAGCACAATGGTAGAGTGCTTGGGTTTGATTCCATGTCCAAAACAAAACAAACAAAACAAAAAAGCAGATTGCATATTCAGCAAATGTTATAGCTCAGATTGTGATAGAAGGGGTCAGGCATCTCCAGAAGAAAAAAATCAGTGGCTCATTCACCACATTATTTATGGAGTGTCATAGTCTTTATGTAAGCAGTCAAACTGACTTGCCAGCAATGTAGCCAACAATATGCATAAAGCCTGGCAAAGTTTTCTCTCTTAGCCTCTTTCTTGTGCACTTCCTTTTTTTACAATAAAGATGAATTTTCTGTTTGGTCATGTGTTCTTTGCTTGGGAATTTATTCACTTTTATTCCTAACAAAACTAGCATCAAAATTGAAGCTATTGCAGATGAGAAATGAAGTTATTTCACAGCTGTTGCTCCTAGCTTGGCATGTATTTGTGGGACTGCACACTATTTCTCCTAAACTCTTCCTTTGGGACTTTTTACTTTCTGCAGGATTTTTGCCCTCTTGAACTTTATTTATACTTTAATATATGTTTTATATGTTGCAAACCATCATTCCAGGACTGCCCTCCTACAGCACTCTGTTTGGGAAAGCAGCAGTAGGTGGGGTTTTTATAAGTTGTCCTCAGTTCCTGATCCTTCTGGGCTGGAATCAATGTCAAGGAGTGCCTCTTTATTGGTGAATGTTGAGCTCAGAGTTAGGCTCTGTCGAGGTTTCACAGGTGCTAGTTCATCTAATTTAATATTTTCATTTCTGACCAGAATTGTCTTATCCATATTTTCTTCACTGTGCCTTGCGACAACAGCATCAAACACATCCAATTTTGGTGGCAAGGTTCCACTTTCAAATAGGTACTTGGCTAGATAGGAGACACAGGTGTTGACTAGGAATGAGGTCACCATGGAAAGAGTCTTAAATGGGAACCTCTGATTGTAGATACCATTGTCCATGTAGTACCCAGGGTAGTAGATCAGAGGTTGCAGGTACAGATAGGGCTCCCCTCCTGTTATTCTTAGGAAGAGCCCAGCCACATACCCTGCCACTGCCCCATATGTGTTGGTCCCCTTGATGAAAAGCACACACAGGAGCTGTGGGAAGATGATGATGTAGACCAGGTCAGAACTGAGGTACCAGAGCCCATACACAGTCTTTGTCAGCAAGGCCATGGCTGTGGCAGATGCTCCAAACACAAACACTGTGATTCGCATGACCCAGACAATTTCTTTGTCTGATGCCTAAGAAATAAATCGAGAGGGTTAGATTTGCATCTAATGCATTGGCTCACTTAGGCTTTAAAAGTGGTCTTAAAAAGTCTTTGTGTGAAATGGCTCAGTGTATGGGCAAAGGCAACCTAACTTATAACTCCAAGCAATGAGATGGTGGCCTCCTGTGTCATTTGGGCAGGCATCTGTGCACTCCATGCATGGAGCCAGCCCTCTGAGCTCTTTGCTGTGTGCAGAGAGAAAGGTAAGATGAACTACCTGGCACCATCGGGGATAATAAGGCGAAGGAGGTTTTCACTTATACCTATTGAGCAGCAGCTCTTATGTGACACTTAGAGAGCCAGGGCCATCCTTATTTCCTCTCTTTGTGGGAACACCACCATCTTTAAGGCTAGCCAGGCCTTCTAGGATGTTTCTTTACTAAAACCACTGTGGCCATTTCACTGTTATCCTAGGAAACCTGAAGGCAAGCTACAGTCTGAGAAGAGAGGCTTTTAAGGGGGGTTAGTTCTTGCCATCTCAGGGATCATTGCAACATGTGTTCTCACACAACAACTGATTGTGCAGTAAGGACAGTCAAATTCAGGGGACGTTTTATGGTGAGGCTGCATCAGGACAGGAGCGATCCAGATATCGCACACCAGGAAACAGGTCCCCAGGCTCCTGCAGTATTTAATATCATGCTAAGATATTTTAGGCTGCATTACTCTTTTACTGAAAAGATATGAAGTTTAAGTTATAGTGCTATGACTGAATCTCTTGGGAAACAGTAATTTGATTTGTGCCTTTGGTATTAACATGAATGATAACATGTATTGATAGTGTGTATTTATAGCATAAATACATTCACTGTTACATAAACTTGTGTGCTTAATCAAAGCACACAAAGATTTTTAATGCAATCCATCTAGCTCTCTATCCGTCCGTTTTGAGCATTCCTTATCCAAAATGCATGGGACCAAAAATATCTTGTATTTTAGGATTTTTGGATTTGGAAATATTCACAACTACATACTAAGGTTTCATCTTGGGGATGGGACTGAAGTAAAAAAAAAAAAAAAGAAAGTAATTGATGTTTTGTATACACCTTATTATAGACATAGCCTGAAAGTAATTTTATATCATATTTTAATAATTTTATTCAGAAAGCAAAGTTTCAGGTGTGGAATCTCTCATGTCAGTGCTCAAATTTCACATTTTCAGATAAGGGAGGCTCAACCTGTAACACTATCTACACAGTCCAAGTGATGACAGCCAGGAAGCAGAGCAACAACAAACTGAGTTATGACATTATGCTCACATTTTGTCTGAAGGAGAGCTGGTAGATGTTCCGCGCAAACATCGAACTTGCTGACAGGATGGATGAGTCGGCTGAGGACATGACGGCAGCAGACACTGCACCCAGGCCGAAGAAGGAGATGTACACAGGGCAGAGGTACTGCAGCACAATCGGGAGGATCATGTCTGCCTCGCCCTTGTCCTTGGGATCCAGAGGCCCAAAAGAGGTCTGGTTCCAGTCTGTTGGGCAGAAACAGTGAGCATAGCACACATAAAGGGCATGTGCTCTTTAGCTCTTTACCACTGACTCAGGCTGTTTTCAGGTAGTACGGAAACAAATTCATAGTTGTGTTGTGTCTGCAGGTGGGACGTCTTTTATTGATTATGGAGAAATGTCTCACCTGTTCTGGCTTCTGAAGGGCACAGTTCCCTTACAGCCCCTGTTTAGGTTGTGCTAGCTAGACATAAATATTCCTTTTGCCACTGTGGCAAATGCTTTCACATAGAATCTCAGTTTTTTTTTCCCACCACTTGGAGGTGAAAGGACACTTGTGCACCCAAATAGGATTGTCCTATTTGGTTTCAACCAAGAACACAGTGGATTTTCTTGTCTACTCTTTCCTGAGTGTACTTTTCAGTTTGGAGCTCCCTATGCTCTATTTTCCTCTGATTAAATTCTGTTTGCATAGAATTTCACTTCCCAGAAATGGGAAGCATGCTAGAATAAGGGCAGTCCCTTTTTAGTGAATACAAACTACATTCTTTGGGTTTGGGATTGAGATTTTTAAGGGGGCTTTTGAACTTGTCATGGTGAGGTGACTTGAAATGTAAGTTTATCTTTGAATTTATACCTTGTTTACTGTTTAGTTATAGCATTGTTGAATATAGGGAACCTGTACATGTACATCAGCATTATTCCTTTTCCTGTTTCTTTTTAATTTTTTTAGACAAAGTTTCACTAATTTGCCCAGGCTGGGAAAATTTAATGTGCGATCCTCCTGTGTCAGGCCCCACAGTAGTTGGGATCACAAGGTGTAGAGCACCACACCTAGCTTCATCATTTTAAAAATTTGTTGAACTTCCTTAATTGATGATAAGCAAGGTGGTTTCTTTTGACTCTACTGGTTTTTCTTCCCCCCTTTCCCTTTACAATTGTATTATAGCTGTGCTTAGATGACACTAGCTCTAAAGCCTTAAGTGAGATGTTCTGATACTACAAATAACATTCAAGAAAGTGTACTCTGTCTAAGAGAAAAGGAGCCTGGAGCTATTTCTGCCAGCCTATTGTCCTAACACACACAAGTGCACATGCAACCCTCCACACTAAGGTCTAGATCCATCCTCTATGAAATAAATCCAGTCTTTTTCTAAAATCATCTGATATTGTACACCACTGCTGTTGGCTGTCTGCTTACCTCTTAGTGTTTGTTTATGTCATGGGTGAACAACTGGAAGGGAGAGAGGTGTCATGACCCAAGGCTGCTCTTTCCTGCATGAAATAACCCAAAAATCAGCTCTACTGGTTCAAAGCCAAAGCCATTGTGTGAAGATCACCCTGGACCATCTTTAGAAAATACAGCATGGTAAACATGAACTTTCTCTAAACTGCTTTAATATCTTCTACATAGGGCATGGCGTTGAACTTGGGTTAACATGATGTCTTTTCCATGAATGCATTAGATGAGGTCCTAAGTATGGCTTTGAGGTACAGACAATGCTGTGTGTGAACAAGCCTGGGTCTTTGGCATTGTGTTCAGTACATAGTGGTCTGAAGTTTATTATCTGAAGTTCAAATCCCTGGGGTGAGGATATTGGGTATCATGTGGGGGACATTGGAGGGAACAAGGTCACAGAGGTGGAGCCCTTCAGAGTGTGATTAGAGCTCTTATCATGGAGCTGGCTTCCTATTCCACCATGAGAGGAGTGAAAGGGTCAGGAGGCAGGGAGTTCAATCCCTTCAAAGGCAAGATTTTAGATGTGTTCTATATGAGACTACCAGGGAAATAACACCTTCTATTGCCCTTTTAGAGAATCATTTTTTTTTCTTAATTTTCTTAATCCATGTACATATTGATTTCTCCAAGAAAAAAATTATTAATTAACAAACTATGGACACTTAAAGCTAGACTTAATCTCAGAGGGGCCCTTGGGTAGTCATGATGAAGACAGCCTAAGACCTCAGCACTATGCCTCCCTTCAGGGGCTTTAGAAGACACTGGGGTCCCACTCTGTCTTTGAAAGTGAAGTATGATGCTCCTTGTGGAGTGGCCAGAAGCAGGGGTTTCTTAGAGTCTCTCCCAGCCCTCTGATGCTGCTGGGGCCTGATTGAGAGCTGTGGGGGAGAGAAGTCCTCACAGCATCCTCTGAGATATAAAGCTGGGGAAAGAGTTTGTCAGGCAAGGAGCACCCCAAAAGTGTGAAACACAGGATAACAGTGTGCATCCCATGCTGGACACTGCAGCAAAAGCACATAGGAAAGTGGGGTGGGGGTTCCCTGGCTGGGTGAGGCTGCAGGACTTACTTGTGGAGGCTCCAATGGCCCCGATGAGCACAGCCGGGAGAGCCATCACCAGGCACCCAAAGGCTGCCAGGAAGGACAGCACTTGTGCATAGGTGGCTGAGGATGAGGACAGCACCCTCTGGAAGTAGGCCTGCCACGGGATTCCACCCAGCATCTGCGCCAGAGCCCAGGAGAGAGGATGGGGTAGTTAAAGTCCATTGTGATTGTGTATTAAAGACTTTCTAACAACTGCCTTTTGAGAGGTCCTAGGTCTAATGGTACAATGTGAGAAGATGCTCTGTAGCCTGCATATCTCAACTGATGTCACTGTGCTTACTACAATCTGAACCCTGAACCCCACATGTGTGTTGATCCCCAGATGATGAGGTCCCACTAATGGGGCCATCACCAATGCTGCTGTGCTTGAGGGACTTTGTTCCCCTCCTGCCTAGCGCAGACACAGGCATGAGTCCCTTTGGGAGGAACCGGCCATCCCCAGACACTGATCAGCTAGCCCCTGGGCCTTCAACTCCACAGCCTTCAGGACTGTGACAGATATTTGTCTGTTGTTTACATGCCACCGCTGGTTATGGCAACTTGTTATAGCAGCCCAAACAGACCAAGACAATGTTATTTCCAGGCTTTTCATGGCATAGGATTTCCCAGATTGTTCTTTGCAATGGCATAGGATAATCCTTCCTTTTCTTCATTTTGCCTACTTTAAACTGCTTTCAGAACCTTGAAGTCTTCAATTTGTTCTCATCCAGAAGCTTCAATCATCATAAAGTATTTTCAACAAAATTAAGATTCTGAAAGCATGAAGTGAAAGCTGAGTCAGTCCAGTCCATTACACAGCCCATTGCCAGGCAAGATTTGTGAAGGACACAAGTGGAAGGCTCGTTCCCCCAGAACTCACTCTGCCTTCATCCAAGGTGGGGAGCAGGATGCTCAGAGAATATAGTGCAGCACCAGGGGAAAGTCCAAACTCCCGACTGTAGGTTTCCTATGTAGCATCTAAATGTCATCTTCAAAAACTAAGTGACATATTACATGCATGAAAGCCAATGATAATGCGTACTGCTGGTGAGTGGAATGTTTTTGTTGAGGAAATACAAAACTGTCTAAGACACTGGGATTGTCTGCATGCCATAAGAGGTCTGTACAGAAATGGAACAAGTGGTTTGGGGTGAAGCAGGGGTGGTGAGGAGGGACAGCAGCATGGTAAGCAGGAACACTGACAGAAGTGACTCTGAATCAGTCCTCATGCACTCAGCGGAAGTCCTAGGTGGGGACTCGGGAGAGGAGATCTCAGGAGAGCAGCTTATGTGGAAAAGGAAACTCCAGTCCCACAGGCAACTGTGAAACCTTGACCAGTGCGACCCACTGGAGGGGACTGTGCACCTTGGGAGAAGCTGGGAAATGCCTGCTGCCTTGGCTCCAGCTACTCTTCCCCCTGCAGACCCAGTGTTGTTCTTTACACAAAATGATCTCTCGAATGAGCTTGCTATGTCACAATGTACGAAGGCTTCCTCAACTTTCTGGCTCTCCCTCTTGGGTCTGAGCCCTGGGATGCCCACCCTATCTGTTACCTCTTAGCACCTGTGCCGAGCATGAGCACAGTGCTCAACACAATGATTTCCAAACAAATTTCCTTCTTGAAATATCCACAAGGGCTCAGAAGTAACATAAAAGAAATAAAGGAAGAAATTCTAGAATGCCCAGTTATTCTTCTCAAGTCCATATTCTTCCAAAAATCTTTTATTTCTTTTTGCAACCTGTCACTATTATACAATTAACTTTTCAGTGTCAAAGAAAGATAGGAGTTGGTGTACCCTGGTGACTCACTGACCACCTGCATGGTTAGGTCATCAGAAGCTGCTTCTTTTTTGTGCTTTTAAATTTATAAATAGACCTGATGTCTGTGTCCACCTCTCTGCCCTGCAGAACTCATATGCTCAGACCCCAATCCCAATAGGCAGTTTTCAAAGGAAACTGCTGGGAGGGACCTGATCCTTAGAAATGGTATCAATGTCCTTTTGAGAAAGGGCCATGGATTTCCCACCCCTCTTTCCCCACAGGAAAAAATAAAGAAAAGAAAGTTCAAAGTCAGCCAGCACACTCTGAAGAGCCGTCACCAGAGCCTGCCCTGTGGCCCTGCCTCACACTTTCTGTGGGAACACAGCTCTGCTCCCAGAACTTGCTGCATCCCTAATGCCTGGGACAGGTAACAAGGTGGGAAATGAGCTTGGAGGAGACAGTGTTGAATGCAGCAAAGTGCCATAAACCCAGTCATGATATCCTGTCAGTCTTTCAAAGAGAAATTTTTAAAAAGCCCATTTCCCCTTCATTCTGACAAAAACAGTGGCCTATTCCTTGTGTTGAAGTAAATAGTATTGCTTTCATACACAACGTCTCTAGTTAGTAGAATCTTGAAATCTGGAAAGTTCTTTTGGATTTTCCCTCTTCCTGAACTGTACCCTGCAGGCTTCTCTTGGGCCACTTTCCCGAGCCTCTCCATCCCTTCCCAATATTTCTCATGAGATTAGGGCCCATGGAACTACTAACTTACTCCACCGTGTGAGGATGAATAAGTTATCTATTTCAGAATGGAGTGTCTCTTAATGCCTTAATCCAAAACCCAGACTAAAACTTCCAGGTGTCCTGGCCCTCAGGTGGGGGAGTCTTGGAAATACCTTCGATGTGTGAAGCACTCAGACCCTGTTCCCCAGGCCAGGGCACCGCTTACCAGCAACAGAAAGTTGTCCAACCAGGTGTAGACCTCGAAGGATTCAATGGTTCCCAGCCAGGGATCCTGGAACTTGGTGTGCACTGCTGTGAACCCGATGTCGGCCACCGCAGGATGAGACAGGGCAAAGGGGACGCTGATCCACTGGACAAGAACAACATAGGAGCCTTCCTGTGACTTCTGAACACCTAGAACATGGAGACTGGCACACCTAGTGTGCCGCACTCACCCATGGCACAGCTTACTGCTCCTCTCAGACAGAGAATTTTCTGTGTGACACCATGACACACTGATTTAGAGAAACCCAGATCACACATGCTGCCAAGCCAGGAGAAGATCCAAAATCAAAATTCAAAATACAGATTCTACTGAATGCATTTCTCTTTTGCATCATTGTAAAGTTGAAAAATCCTAAGCTGAACCACTGAAAGTGGGGGTCCATCTGTATGCTCTGTGCATGCTCACTCATCCCTGCCTGTTGGGGACAAGGTTGGGTGGCACAGGGTATGGATTAGGGAAAGGAAGAGATAACAATAATCATGTGGAGAGACCCCTGTTGTGAGCTTAAATATTTGTAACTTGTTTTGCAAGCAACTGGAAGAGGATTTCTTCTGAGTGTTAAAAAGGTTTCTGCTGGGGATTTAGCTCAGTGGTGCAAGTGCAAGGTCCTGAGTTCAATCCCCCCACCAAAAAGTTTTTTCAGTGAGATTCTCTCTGGATTTAGGTATTACAGCTGTGAACAGTCAGTAAGCAGGGCTCCCAGTCATCTCAGGGCCAACCACATGGAGTCCGAAGTGCCCCAGCATCATCAGAGATGGGGACACGTGGGGACTGATGAGGAGGATGAAGAGAATCAGCAGCCCTCAGTCCTAGGGTGAGGGAGGCAAGAGAGGGAGAGAACAGAGGGGACCTCACACAGCCTTGCGGCCCCATCAGTGATGATAAAATCCACAGTTAGGAGGTTTGAGAGGAGCTGGTTTAAGGGATAAGTTAATCAACTATGTGTACATGTACAGCAACTAAAGCTTAGAAAGGAAAACATTTAGTCTTATCAACATAATAGTGTCTTAACTAAGTGACCCATAGACTTTCATTCCTTATCAAGTTAGATTTCAAAGCAGAAAGATGATCTGGGTTCATCCTGCAATGTCATCTTTGCCCTGGCACATTTGATTTATGCTCCTGTGTGTTTCAGCCTCTGGTCTCATGCAAAGCAAGGAGGTGTCACATATATCATCCATTAATGGATGAATCCCCTGGGGCATGTTTCTTGGAATAACAAGTGCATCTTTTACTAGAGATGCACTGCCAAGCTAACCCTGCCCTGACCCGAAGATTTCTTCCTGTGTTCTCCGCTTTGTCTTTGGAAGTTTAGGATGACGTTATGTAAATATCAGCAATTTTGCACTTGATTTTGACAATTTCAAAAGAAAAAACTGAGAGTCTTTGAGCAAATTAATATGAGTAAATGACACTCCATAATATGCAAACAAAACATCTAGAAGAAAAGAAATGTAATATTTGCTAGCACATGTTAATTTATAGTTAAACTATAAATCTAATATCAGTCCTTTAAAATATTTTTTCCAGAATATCATGTTAGAAAGTTAATAAAGGGTCTGAGATCATTCTTCATTTTTTTTATATCTAAGTATCTAATGCAAAAGCTAAAGTAGAGTGGAAAGATTTTTATCATAGAAAATAAAGAAAAATGAGGAAAATCCAGGGTACTTGGACTATCTTTGGGAACATGAGTCATTATCTGCTTGCTCTGTCTGTGGCCTCTGCACAAGGGCTTTGCCCCCACAGGAACAAAGCTGAGATGATCATGAGATCATCAGTTGGCTGAAATCATGAACGTTAACTCATATGTTGGATGAGCCTGGACTCAAGACAGACAAGGGCAGACAAGATCATGAATGTGGTCCTACAAAGGAACTGTGCTGGAGGAGATCAGGAACACGGACCCAGGATGACCCCTAGCATCATGGAGACATAGTCTCTTTTACACTTCTGATATGCCTTAAATATTGGATATTATTATTCACAGAATTATAATTTCCATGTTTTAAGACATGAGTCTGCAAAGAATCACCACTGACTAGAATGTGCTTAAGACACACAAGAGAACTTTTAATATAATACTTGTAATACTTGTATTTCATAATTCTACATTACCCTTTACTTGATTCAACATGCAAATATTAGTTAATTTAATCCAGGGCTTGAAAGCAAAGTAGTAGATAATAAACACATAGTTTTTTTTGCATAATAAGTCCTTTGTTTATGGATCCCAGACAGAGAAGATTAATATTTGAAATCTACAGTTTTTCCAATGGTATAATTTCTGAGCCCCATGAACAGGCTTATAGATAATATATTAACATGAGGTAGGGTAAGAGCCATGTACAAGTTACCAGTAAAATCTAAATTTTGCTAACAGAAGAAAAGTGTGTTATAGTCAGATCTCAAAGAGGATCACACAAGTTTTCATCAAATCTAAGAACAAAGGAATGGAAGACCTAAACCCTTCTAAGAATTAGACTTGGGGGACACTTTTCTGTCAAAACTAAACAAAACATTTGGAATTTTTGATTAATTAAATCATCCAGAAGTGTTTTAAACTTTCAAAGACTATGCAACTTACTATGTATTACTCACAATGGACAGTAAGATTTCCATCAATTTTTGTTATTAAAAATATCACATTATCATTTTCTTCAACAGAAAAAGAAAGAAAATCTGCAGGCAGCTCCACTTACCAGTCCTAGGAAAATGCAAAAGAGCTGAACGACATCCGTGTAGGCCACAGAGTAGAGGCCGCCCACCAGTGTGTACAGGATGGCGATGAGCGCGGACACGATGACGGACACGTGCATGTTCACGTCGATGATGACACTGATGGTGGCCCCTGAAAGCCAGCAGAGGGTGGAGTCACAGTGGAGAGGCGGGTGGGCTTCCCCATACTACAAGATGGGCACTCAGGACAACAGATAATTTGGTCTCTTACGCTGAAAACTTCATCTAGTGAGTTGGGAATCTCTCTAGTTCATGATGTCGGACCTGCAGAGATATATACCCCTGCTTTCTGAGGTTAGTGTTTTCCTGACTTGTTTACGTGAGGCTCTGAGATCAATGGTGTGGTTAAAGAATACCTGAAACACTGATTGCAAGAACTTATAGCAATTTCATCAGGTATCTGAAATGCTGACGTAATTAAATACATGCATTACATTTACTCACATCTATAAGAAAAAGTGGCCTTTCTGAGAGGCATGAGTGACCATTTCCACTTGTACAATGAATATTCATTTGCTATTTTTCAACTAAGTCCCCGACTTATGGATGAGTTCTATTCTGGGAGAATTGTTCATAAGTCAGATTCATTTGTAAGCTGACAAAGTGAGTCTTACATGGTACACCTATAAAAGTTCACAACTAGAATGTTTGTAAATCAGGGATTTACACTAAATAAAATTATGAAAAAGTCCCTTAACTTGAGCTCATAGAAATCTAAGTACACATTTCTGTAAGATGCTGTCCATGCTCACTAGACAGACTATTTATGATTCTCCAGCAGAGATGGCCGTGTTTGCTATTGGATCAAATGGTGAGCAGGTAAATACCACTGCATCCATTGGTGGCTGGGTGGTGTTCAAAGATGGCATGATCCTCCTGCCTCTGCCTCCCACAGTGCTGGGATTATAGGCTTAGGTCAACACTGGGATGTAGCTCAGTGCCAAGACTCTGGATTTAACCCCCAGTATTGCAAAACAAATACTAGTGTCATAATATCTCAGGATTTCACAAACCAAAGGGAAGGTAAGATGATGTAACAGGTGAGGATGAAGATGTGGAAGCCACAAGAAGGTCTCCAGGGATGTTTGCCAGCCAGGGCGCTTGCTCCACACTGGGCCTACCCATGTATCCTACATTTATCACTTTTAATAAATATCTATTTCAATCCTCAAAAAGGTTCTCCTATGTTTCAGAAGCATGCACATTGCAGTGATGTGATAATAATCTGATACTCATCCATTCTTGAGTAACCCACCTTATTTCCTATAAACACTGAGCTTGAATCATGTCCAGAAAATATAAATAATTAAAAGTAAGAATGCTTTACCAGAGCTTAGATTTCAAGCAAGTAATTTTTTTAGGTATATGTGCATGTCTATGGGTATGGAAAGAAAAGAATGAGGGAAGGAGGCAGGGAGACAGGGGAAGAGAGAGAGAGAGAAAGAGGGAGAGAGAAATTTCCCCACATTTTATGAGGATTGAAAAATATGCACAGATGCATATATACAAATTAACTAACTGAAGCAAAGTTTTCACTACTATAGTATTTATAAAATACTTCAGAAACATTGGCCCAATAATTCTCCTCTCCAGGCTGTTACATAAGGTGATCTTTATTGACTTGGAGTGAACAGTTTGTATTCTGCTAGATATTTATCCCACTCCTTTTCTGATACCTCAGCAGGTAGTCTGTTCTTAGTATATGTGGTGCCAAAGGGAGCACAAGGTGGTTTGTTCTTAACACATAATTTTCTGGTGCTGAAACCAATGAAAAATAAATCCCTTTTGCTTTCCATCTAAAGAGAGTGAGGTGGGAAGGGCCATTCACAGTTTCATCGCTATACGAGGGCACATAGTGCTACTATCTAACACCAGGGAAAGATGGTATTATACTGTTTCCTAGCTATCAAATTCTCTTCTTTTCCACCTGAATTACTTCTTTGCTTTTACACCAGAGACCAAGAAAATAACTTTAGGTTATATGGGATACTGGAAAACAGTGTGAGCTACAGTACAATCTAACATTCAAAGGCCACGTAAAATGATAACTGAATCCAGCAGCCAAGATCGTGGTCTGAAATATGCAACATGGAAGGAAGTTCCTCCTATTACTCAAGGCTGCTGCATTTCCGTTTGCAAGAAGAGATGGAAAATAACCTAAAGATGAATGGCTGGAGGTCAGGGACTGCCACAGCTCATAGAGGAGAACACGTCACCTCAACCCTCAACAGGAAGATTCCATCAACCTGCACTTGAGGGAACAGGAAGGCACTAAGCCCGAAGAGCTTCCAGGACCACTACTTTTCTAAATGATGTGAGCTAGCTGAAAACCCAAGGGCTGAGGGCAGAGTTTCTTAGCATTTTTGATCTTGGCTCTCAATTATACTCTAAAGAGTCTAAGTTCAGTTAAGAGCCCTCAGTGTGCCCAGTATCCAACACTCAAGGATGAAAATGGGAACACAATGAGGGAGGAAAAAAAAGCAACATTCTTTTTTTCTTTTTTGAAGAAAACAGAGCCCAAAACAATTCATTCATTCATTCTTTTTGTAGGATTATAACTGCTAACAAGACACAGTCCTGCCTTCAAGACATTCGTCATCCGTGGTGTAGGATTAGAACTTGGACATGAAGTAGATAAGCAGGCCCATGTACAAATGATAGATACATCCAGTGAGAACAGAAAGGTTTTTTTCTGAGTTTCCACAGGAAATACTGCTGGCCAGTTCCCAGGGATGTACCTGGGGGACCCCAGGACAAGGGCCAGAGAGATGTGAAGGAGGAAAGAGGGCAGAGGAGTCCAAGTGGGGCTGGGAGGCAGGAGATGACTACAGCTTTGGGAGGAGGAAGAGAGCGGTAGGCATCGAGAGGTGAAAGCCAAGTCCCAGCTCACTGTGGACCCTGTTAGAGAGTTTGCTTTTCAGCAGGAAGGGACAGAGGAGAATTAGATTTAGAAGGAAGAGTGTGGCTTGCAGGTGGAGCCACAGAGAAGGCAGAAGGGTAATCATATACTCTAATTCAGGGAGGTGTGGCCTGAGGCAGGCAGAAGGAAACGAGGCAGAGGGAAGGACTGGGGTCAAGGTGGAGAAGCTTGAGTAGCTGAGTGTGGCCGCACACAACCGTGCATCCAGAGAATGGGGGCTCTGCTTCAACCTCCCCATGGCCAAGCAGGCAGCATTCATCTGCCCAGATCTCAGCAGTGGTCATGAGTATCAGCTACCTCCCTCTGCCTCCCTAAGGTCCTACTGGAGAAGAGAAGATCAGGGTGGGGAAGCCTGGAGAGTGGCTAAGAAGACATTTGCACTGCTGGGGAGATGAACACTACCACGTTCAGCACCTGCACAAACAAACTGGTGCTGTGCTTTGGAAACATCAGCATATTGGTTATGTGGTTGCCCATTCTGTCGACTGAGGACTGGTGACATCCCGTTTGTCCTTATAGACTGCTAGGACTCATACTTGGTTTCTATTTGGATTTAATTAGATGTGTTTTACATGAAAGGTAACATCTTTAGAAATATTAATGCTTTTAAAATGCCTGCTGTGGTGTTCTTTGAGTTTAGATCATTTTGTACAAGTTTTAAATATCAATTAACAAGGCAGGTGTTGGAAGGAAAAACAGGGAAGGTTAAAGAGTTCTTGGGCACAGAACCCTATTGTGGGAAGAAAGCAGGTATAACTCATTGATTTAAATTTGTTCAACACCAAGTATTCTCTCTAACACCTGGCTCAAGGACACTAGTTTTGAAAAGTAAACTTCACTTTTTAGTTTTGCTTAATTAATAATAGTAGGCTTGAAATCCAGACTTAAAAAGCAACTCTTGATCATTATAACAACGACTACCACCTTGCTGATGAAATTCGCATAAAAAGCAAATGCACTTCAGCCTTCATTTAGCCTCTGCAGCCATAGTGCAGTCAGTGTAGAATTTTACCAATATAAATATGGCTAAGGATATGGCTGCAACAATAGGAAGTAAGTTTATGTGTCTGATGTCCAGGAAACTGGGAGTGTAGATGGAACGATGCTTTGTGGGTCTTTACCTAAGGCAGAGAAAATCGCAGCTGCCCAGAACATTTCTCCCATGAGCGCGGGGATGAACAGCAGCCCGCCCATGCGCTTCCCATAGATCTGCTGGAACGGGTCTAACATGGTTACGTAGCCCTTGGAGCGCATAGGTTTGGCAAAGAACAGACCACCTAAAAAAAATTAAACAAGTGTTTTTGAATTAAAAATGTATAATGTAATAGTCCTTGCCAAGCTTTTACCATTTTATAATTTCTCCAGGGAAATGAATGCTTTAGAATACTTATCTGTATGGAGGAACTGATCTGTAATACACTGAGGCTATAGCACCAAGAAAAGTTTTAGCAACCTAATATAAATTCCTTAGTATATTTAATATTACATGTGTCCAGTGGATAATCAGTGGTGGCAAACCTATGGCGTGAGTGCCGCAGCAGACTGTGTCACTGAAAGCTCTAAAAGGTTCGCCATCACTGACACAAGTGAAGCGTAGGAGCTGAAAACAATGCCCCAGGTCAGTGCTTACCAAGAGGCCTTGAGCACAACATTTAGACATTTTGAATAAGTACTGGATCCAATACAAGTATCTTGAATGAAAAAGGCAAAATTCTCTGCTAAATTGCTATATAATATTTTTGACTATTAATTAGTTTGACTTACAAAAAGAAACTCAGGTATACAATCAAGTTGATTCATTTTAATGATACAGTCATAATATTTTGAAAGGAGTAAAATACGATTATGTTAAGAAATTCACTGTTCTGGTAGTCATAGGATCAAAGGATTTTTTAAAATACATTCCATAATCAGGAGATCAAATCATCTAAGGACTAGTGTTCTGCTACATACCAATTTCTGGTAATAGCCACTTAGAAATTTATGGTGACATTTTCCCACAATAGTTACTGATATTGTTTAGCTTGTTATTTCACTTCTTATTCATACTCCCACCCTTCCTGCTGTAGGGAGCGAGTCACTGAGATTTGAACCTCCACTTACCTACAATCAGACTAAGAGAATATCCGATGGGTGCCTGAGCCCACGCGAGGCCGTGGCCTGGCACATACACTGCTTCAGCTGTGCCATTGATGTACCCTCCTCCGACCCAGGTGGCTGAAACAGAAGGGAAGGTGAGGGTGAACCACTGTCCTACTAGTCATGTGGCCAGGAGCACCTGCGGTGCAGCTGTTCAGGCTGGGGGTCTTGTGAAGGGCTCCAGGAAGAGATGGAGGCAGCCAAATAAAGAAGGTAAAAGAGCTGAGGAGAGAAAGTGTGGGCTAAAGAATTTTGGGCCTAGAATGACCAACACATTGTATTTAAAGGATGATTTGTATTGATCACAAACATATGAAAGTGTTCTGAATTAAATAAGTTATATTATTGACCTCAATTTAATTATTTCTTATGTTTTTAAAAGGCTTTTGTAGAAAATTTAATATTACATTTGGGGCTCACCTTCTACATCTACTAGACAGTGCTGCCTTGGTATTTTCTAAATGTGTTTAGCCATCAGCACTTTGTGGTGAAGTCATGGATATCACACAGTCTGAGATCATACAGGGTGGAACTTCTATGACCCTTTCTCCAACCCCCACAGTCTAGAGCCAAGGGTCTTTATTCTAAGGCCATGCCATTTGAAGTGTACTGATAATTTTACACTGATCATGACTATTGTTCTCAAGGAGTGGCATATATGTGTGTGTGTACAGATGCATGTGGGAGGGCACAGTTGCATGTGTGTGTTTACAAGTGAGAGCAAGTAAATGAAGTTGTGTGTACTTCCCTAATATTTTCTCAAATATGCTGGCAACATTGGCAATGGTGCATCCATCCGTGATCACAGTGAGCTGTACTCAGTTCCAATGTTGTCAGAAGAATGAAAGGAGATGAGAGAAAGGGCCCTACTCCCACAATGGGTTAGAGTGAACTCTCTTCTCTCCTGCACCCAGAAGACACGCAGGGCTGTGGCCAGCACTCAGGAGAATGCAGTGCTGACAGCACATCACTCACAGTTCTTTAAGCTGGGTCTTCTCAGGTGGTGTTTGATATTTCACAGGGAATATTAAGAAATATGTGCTTTTCAGATATATAAAATTTCTGTAGCATAATAGCTAAGAAAGGAGGTCAAGGAACAAAAGAAAGCTTATTTGTGCCACTGTTTTCCCTCAGAAAGTAACCTAATATTTGATACTCACTGAAAAACAAGTTAAATGGAACACTATGTCTGCAGCACACATCTATACATGTAAAACATATACTATTCTTTAAAAATATAGCAAAACATTAAAAATGACATCTATGTAGGATTTATGTTAAAGTCTGATGGTCAGAGGCAGGTAAGAAGCTTACCAGAGGTGAGGCTAGATTCTGGGCTGTATGATTCCACTGAGAATACAACTTAACTCTGAAGAATTCTCTAAAATCTCACAGACTATAAAGAAAAAACATAATACGCATTGAGCTCTGTCCAAGGTGATAGTTTTCATTGTGTTCATGCTAGAATTTATCTGGCTTTGAAGCCAAGATGAAACGGTGTCATGGGGCTGATGCCACTTGTTAGATGGTTAACTTGAAAAGTTTTCTGCATAGCAATTTTAAGTGATTTAATGAGAGTTTGTGCACTAACCAATTGACATGGAAGAACAACACACACAATAGCAGCCACTCCCATCTTCACAGTGTCTTCCGGACTGAGTGTTAACACATAACAGATGCTGTTTGCACTAACCAATTGACATGGAAGAACAACACACACAATAGCAGCCACTCCCATCTTCACAGTGGCTTCCGGACTGAGCACTTACTTCACTGTAAGCCTTGCTGGGGTTTTAGACCCCCCCACACTGGGTGTGTAAGAAGCACAGGAAGAAGGGGCTTGGTGCAGGAAAAGGCCTGGGCCCCATCTTGTTCTGGGCGGCAGGACTGCTGCCTGGGAAGAGCGATCGCTCCAACTGGCTGACAAGCACAATGCACGTTAGTGATCATTCTTCACTGTGTAGCTCTCCTGTTCCTTGTTCAAAAAGAACACCAGTGCTTGAAGGATTGATTACTCCCACTATAATACAGACGCGAAGGCTGGGTTACCTATTGTGATTGAACAAAGCACTCCAATTTATACTGCTTGGGTCTTTTCTGTGGCACATCTGTCCCCCTTGTTTGTGTGTTTTGTGTTAAATCACCAGTGAGAACCCAAACTCTTTTAAACTCTATGCACTTCAAAGGAAAAAAACATTTTCAACCTTTATTCTGTAGTAAATATATACAAGCAAATGAATCTAACAAGACAGTGTAATTCAGATACTAAATGAATGATGGTTTTGACTGAGGTTCTTGTTAATTTTGAGATAGAAAGAGAAAAGCTTTTAGAAGTGAGCTAGACCATATCACTTTATAAGAAATACCATCACTCAAATATTTTCTATATACTTTAGTGGTGTACTAGAGTGAAAAAATTCCTCTACATAATAAAGGGACAAATTCTAAAAATATTCTCTTATGGTCATATTAAGTAGAGTAATAGAACATTACAATAATTTGCAAAGAATAAAATACTTTGATGGGAAGCAGCCCATTTATTTCTGTGGACAACTGTTACAAGCAAAGTATCCCTGTAAACAAGCACAGTGAAGCTGGCAGAGGGCTGCCTGCTCTAGCACAAGGCCAGGGTGTGGCTGCCAGGTGTCCTAGGCCCATCCTGGCTCTGGTCCTTTTTAACCTCATAGTCCTGGCTCTTCATTTAACCCCATAGCACTTTCGCAATGCTCTTATAAAGACTACACCAGTCTCCATGCTGTGGCTGAGGTATTAAACAAGCTGTGCCTGCCTGAATGGAGTTAACTCCACAGTCCTCATTAACACTGTAGATGCAGATGGACCACTTTAAGACATCCGAAAGTGGACACTGTCTTTATAGACTGGTTTGGTTAAGTTTTTGAAACACAGGGTAAATCACTTGTAAGTGACATCATTTGAATATGGTTTCCAATGGGATATTTTTCTAATGTTCCTGATAATGTATACTATATTGCTAATGTCTAAATACCCATTAAGACCTGAATGAACTGTGTCATTCATAACTGTAACAAATAACATGAAAGGCATTGTTTTTCAGAAATATTTGCAATGACTAAGACAAACATAAAAAAAACCCACCCCTTACCACAACCCCTCACTGAGAGGAAGAAAGCAGGCCTGCCCCTCCTAGCACAGAGAGGGGTGGGGTGGGGTGTGTGGATGGACACACCCTGCCTTTCCCCTTCACCAAGATTCCTGCAAATATCAGCTTTAGTGCTGTGCAATAACTTCTGGTAAGGAAATCAGTTACCGAGTGGAAAAGTAGATTTCTGAACAGGGAATCGATCCATTTGGAATGGTATTGGCCCCAAATGTATTGATCCAGGATAAAAGTCATCACTGGTTCATATTCATTGACATCAGTCATCTAGCGGAGCTCTGGCACAATTTCCTGCACATGTGGAGGCACCCATGGCAAAGCCCTCCCTTTAGCCAACAGGTGAAAGGTGTGCAGGGCCAGGTCCCTCCGCTCCCCTCCACCTCGTGCCTTCTGCTTCCACCTGGGATGAAGTCGGGGAGCTCACACTTGCTTCCCTGAGGTCTGGCCCAGGGACTATCAAATCATTTTGTTCAAGTGCTCCCACACTGAAAACACTTCATTGTCACATCTAAATGTAAAATTATCAAAAGTGAACCTGAAGACTACCAAAGGGACAAAGACAAGGCCTGCCACCCACTCAGAGAAGCCAGCAAGACAGACCCAGCAAGGCAGAGGACCTACCTGTCATGGTGAAGCCCCCTACCAGCAGCCCGATGTCTCGACCTCCCACAATGATGGCCTCGCTGCGCTCCTCGGCGCTGCCGCTGTTCTTGGTTCTCCACGCAGCCCAGATGCCCACCAGCAGGATGAGCAGGTAGAACACCACAATGGCGACCAGCCCTTCCACGTGGAAAGCCATTGTGGCCCAAGCCTGAGGACTCCAGCAGACTACTTCATGCAGATCCCGGACAGAGAGTAAAGGATCGCAGCAGCTGCCCAGCTGCAGAGTGGGTTTAACCCTCTTCAATAATCTAGAGAAACCCAGACTGGGGGAGAGAGAGGGCTCTGAGCTCAGAGGGACCGGGCGTCTAGTTCTGCTCAGCAATTCAAAGCCGCTCTAGGTTTTCAAGGAAGACAAGGGGAGGGGTTGTGGCTTTAAGAAGCAAATCCTAATCGTATCTTTTAATAAATTATTTCCATTTAAAATTAACCTTGTATTCGAACCAGTAATTCTGTCGAGAATCATTTACAAAGAACATGGTTGTGCTGCATTTTGAAACTAAGTTCTTGTTCTGGGATCTGGCAGGGTTGCATTTGAGAAGGATCCTCCCAGAGCTGCAAGCACCTGTCCTGTCCTCCCCACCCATCCTGCCAAAGGATTTCAAGAACTGGTTACAGAAGTGATCTGCTTTGGCTGGAAAGAAAACTTTAGGAAAATCCATTTAAAACACACCGGCTTCCTATTCTTAAGAAGTCCCTGCGCGCTGGAGACGGTGGCCACCGAGTGGCAATGCTGTGTAGCGGGTGGGGTGCTCTCCCTGGGGAGCCCTGAGAAGAGGCTACCGGAGCACAGCCCCTGCTCCCCAGGAGCTCCGCAGCGCGGGGTGTGAAACCCCAGCCTGAGAAGGACGGAAGTTCTGAAGCCTCCGCCTTCAGGAATTCTTGCTTTCTTTTATCTTATTCCTCTCGTGGCCATGGCTGCTTCGTGCACCCCAACACGCCCAGGGAAGTTGGAGAAAAACTCAGGGGCAGGTGGGTGCGGAGCTC